TGGCAGCATGAGGGAAACAACTCAACTCATCAACAGGAGTCAAAAACTCAACTCAACTTATCAACAGAAGGATAACCACTCAACTTAGCAACAGGAGGCAAACAACTCAACTCAAATTGGCAGCAGGAGGCAAACAACTCAATTCAACTTGGCAGTAGGAACGAAACAACTCACCTAAATTTCGCAGCAGTATGGATTCAACTCAACTCAACTCAGCAACAACAGACAAACAACTCGACTCAACTAGGCAGCAGGAGGGAAACAACTCAATTTATCAACAGGAGTCAAACAACTCAACTCAGCAACAGGAGGCAAACATCTCAACTCAACTTGGCAGCAGGATGAAAACAACTCAACAACAGGGGGCAAATTACTCAACTCCACTAGGCATCAGCTGGGAAACAACTCAACTCAGCAGAAGGAAGTAAACACCTCAACTCAGCAGCAGGAGGCAAACAAATCAACAGGAAGCAAACAATTCAACTCAACCTGACATCAGCTGGGAAAAACTCAACTCAGCAGAAGGAGGTAAAAACTCAACTCAGCAGCAGGAGGCAAACAAATCAACAGGAGGCAAACAACTTAACTCAACTTGGCAGAAGATAATCAACTAAACTCAGCAACAGGAGGCAAACAACTCAACTCAACTTTGCAGCCAACTTGGCAGTAGGATGAAAACAATTCAACTCAGCAGCACAAGAAAGTCAACTCATCTCAGCTCGGCAAGAGGAGGCAAATAACTCAGCTCAAATTGGCAGCATGAGAGAAACAACTCAACTAAACTTGGGAGCATGATGAAAACAACTCAGCTCAGCAAAAGGAGGTAAACATCTCATCTCAACTCAGCAGCAGGAGGCAGACAACTCAACTCAAATTGGCAGCAGGAGAGAAACAATTCGCCTATATTTCGCAGCAGTATGGATACAACTCAACTCAACTCAGGAACAGGAGACAAACAACTCAACTCAACTTGGCAGCGGGAGAGATAGCACTCAACTCAGCAGCAGGGGAGAAACAACTCAATTCATCTCAGCAACAGGAGGAAAACAACTCAACTCAATTCGCAGTAGGAGGGATACAACTCAACTCGACTCAGCACCAGAAGACAAACAGCTCAAATCTGCAACAGAAAGCAAACAACTCAACTCAGCAACAGCAGGCAAACAACTCAACTCAGCAACTGAATTCAAACAACTAAACTCAACTTGGCCGCTGGATTGAAACAACTCAACTCAGCAGCAGGTGAGAAACAACTCAATTCAACTCAGCAACAGGAGACAAACAGCTTAATTGAACTTGGGAGCAGGATGAAAACAACCCAACTTATCAGCAGAAGAAAATCAACTCAACTCAGCAACAGGCAGCAAACAATTCAACTCAACTCAGCATCAGCTGGGAAACAACTCTACTCAGCAGAAGGAAGCAAACAACTCAACTCAGTTGCAGGAGGCAAACAAATCAACAAGAGGCAAACAACTGAACTCGATCTGGAATCAGCGGGGAAACAACTCAATTCAGCAGAAGGAGGTAAACAACTCAACTCAGCAACAGGAGGCAAAGAACTCAACTCTACTTTTCAGCAGGATAAAAACAACTCAACTCTGCAGCAGAAGAAAATCAACTCAACTCAGCAACAGGAGACAAACAACTCTACTGAACTAGGCAGAAGTTGAGAAACAACTCAACTCAACTTGGCAGCAGGATAGAAACAACTCAACTCAGCAGCAGAAGAAAATCAACTCATCTCAACTTGGGAGCTGGAGGGAGTCAACTAACTCAACTTAGCAATATGAAGCAAACAACTCAACTCAACATGCCAGCAGGGGGAAAACAACTCAACTCAACAGCAGGATGGAAACAACTCAACTCAACATGGCAGCAGGAGGAAAACAACTCAATTCAACAAAAGGAGGTAAACAGCTCAGCTCAACTCAGCAGCAGGTTGTAAACAACTCAACTCAGCAGCAGGAGGCAAATAACTCAACTCAAATTGGCAGCAGGAGACAAACAACTCACCTTAATTTCACAGTAGGAGGGATACAACTCAGCTCGACTCACCACCAGGAGACAAACAACTCAACTCAGCAACTGGAAGCAAACAACTCAACTCAGCAAGAGAAGGCAAACAACTCAACTCAGCATCAGGAGACAAACAGCTCAGTTCAACTTGGGAGCAGGATGAAAACAACCCAACTTATCAGCAGAAGAAAATCAACTCAACTCAGCAACAGGCAGCAAACAATTCAACTCAACTCAGCATCAGCTGGGAAACAACTCAACTCAGCAGAAGGAGGTAAACAACTTGACTCAGTAGCAGGAGACACACAAATCAACCACTACAACAAATGCTAGTCCTGCGGAACTGTTGATGGGGAGGAAGCTAAGGACCGTCTTAGATAGACTCCATCCAGATCTGACGGCTGAGAGGAAGTTAAGGCAGGAGCAAGACGCGTATAGAAAAAATGGTAGTTCCCTTCTAAGATCGTTCAGTGTCGACGATCCAGTCTTTGTGAGAAACTATGGACAGGGTCCAAAGTGGTTTTCAGCAACGGTCATTAAACCCACAGGTCCAGTTTCCTAAAAAAGCTGTGCCTACAGGAAGCGAGGTTGTTAAACGTCATGTGGATCAAATGCAGAAGCGTATTCCTGACCCGTTGACTGTTCCGTCCGACCCTAGTGTATCATCTCCACCAGCACCGAGTGTTGAGACTGAAGTACCATCTCCCATTCCTTCCAGTGCTGATTCTCAGAGTGCCGTGGTTGAACCTACAATACCAAATCAAGAGTCTTCTATTCCAGTTCCAGAACAGACTTCCAGAAACTTGAGGCCCATCATCAGGCCGAGCAGGTTCAAAGACTTTGTTCTATCCTAGGGCAAAGGGGTGTTGTGATGTCAACTAACGTCACCTTCCGTCATCACTACGAGTCAACGACGACAGCCTGTAGTTTCTGAATGGCGGCGTTGCCTTACCTTTCCAGAGAGTATATATACCCATTCCTAATAGATGTTCATTGCTAACCTTGTTACGTGCTGTAAGCATGTTATTGTTATGTTATGTTTTATTGTTTTTTTAAACTTATACCTTAGTTATTATGTGTCTTACTTTGATACCACCAAGGATATCTCACAATACAATAGTTTCTCTCCCGCTTCCAAGTTGAGTTGAGTTGCTTGTCTCCTGTTGTTGAGTTGTTTGCCTCCCGCTGCCGAGTTGAGTAGAGTTGTTTGCCTCCTGTTGCTGAGTTGAGTTGATTTTCTTCTGCTGCTGAGTTGAGTTGTTTTCATCCTGCCGCCAAGATGAGTTGAGTTGTTTTCCTTCTGTTGCTGATGTGATTTGAGTTGTTTCTCCCCTGCTGCTGAGTTGAGTTCTTTCTCTCCTGCTGCCAAGTTGAGTTGAGTTGTTTGTCTCCTGTTGCTGAGTTGAGTTGAGTTGTATCCATACTGCTGTAAAATTGAGGTGAGTTGCTTCTCTCTTGCTGCCAATTTGAGTTGAGTTGTTTGCCTCCTGCTGCTGAGTTGAGTTGAGATGTTTACCTTCTTTTGTTGAGTTGTGTTGAGTTGTTTGCCTCCTGTTGTTGAGTTGTTTGCCACCCGCTGCCGAGTTGATTTGAGTTGTTTCTCCCCTGNTAAGTTGAGTTGAGTTGTCTCCCTCCTGCTCCCAAGTTGAGTTGAGTTGTTTCTCTCTTGCTGCCAAGTTGAGTTGTTACTCTCCTGCTGCCATTTTGAGCTGAGTTATTTGCTTCCTCCTGCCGAGTTGAGTTGTTTGCCTCCTGTTGCTGAGTTGAGTTGAGTTGATTTTCTACTGCTGCTGAGTTGAATTGTTTTCATCCTGCTGCCAAGTTGAGTTGAGTTATTTGCCTCCTGTTGCTGAGTTCATTTGTTAGTTATTATTTTTTGAGTAATCATTTTTTGAGTAATCACTTTTCACGTTATCACTTTTTATATCATCACTTTTTGCGTAATCATTTTTATGTAATCACTTTTTGCTTAATCATTTTTTGCGTAATCATATTTTACGTAATCGCTTTTCGTGTAAATATTTTTTAAAATAATTCTTGGTTAATTTTTCTTGACTTTTGAAATCATTTTTTCTAAGCAGTAGTACAACATCAGTTACTAATTTTAAGCGTACACCTGAAAATTGAATATTTAAAACCTAAACAGAGTGAAACAGTATTTAACCATGCGAACGATTNCACAGGAAGATAGTTTTGGACGAGTTCAATCATAGAAACTGCTTTCAGAAAACTCTCGTAATGAAGGGACACAAATTCTAGGACTCGATCGGAATCAGAGGGTTAAACATGCGAACGATTCATACGGCATTATTTGTATTTTTTAAGTTCCTTTTAGCTTATTTAAATCTGATGATTTTATACCAAACGCGAAATTAGCATTTAAGGGTCCAAACTTTGGTTAGCTCTCCTGACCAATTAGTCAGGAGAGCATAGTTTAAACTATGAAAACCGTATTTCCCAGATTGTGGCTACTGTATTTTGAATGTTAAGAATCCAAATATGTAAAAAAAATGTATATTTATTCAGAGAAAGTGCGTTTTTGTGTCCGCTTGCGTAACTTATTTAATAGTTAGCACTAAATAATTTGCATATTTAAGGTCACCCCCAAAAACCATTAAGATTGACACTTAGTACGTAAACATCTGATCATTAGAACGAAAATTATTCAGGGTGATGTCTCTTTTTTTTTTTTTTTTTTTTTTTGCTGACTTTACATCACACGCATCTAGCACAAAATTCAGCTACCGCCAATTGGTCCAAACTTGGCGTAAGAATATTTTGAGCGCTCCCCAATTTCAGACTCCGCTGTGCCACAGAACTGTTGAGTTAACCTAGTACAATAACGGCCGCTTAGGCAGTTTCTCATTCAATTTCAATTCTAAAGCCTTTTTCTCTTTAAAGTGAAGTGAAGCAAAGACAGCTCAAATTTTTGTTAAAAAGAAACTTGTTTTAAATACAGTCAATAGATGGCGTTAGTAGTATTAACATTGAGTTTCGGTATGTGCGTAATTTGTGATCATGCGTACTTGCTTCTTCAGTGACAGTAAAATAGGAAACAGACGAAACTGAAATAATCGTAGTTTTTGTTATGTTGCTAATTTCTGCGGATTTAATAAGTTGAAAAATAAATATATTTTTTATAATTTGTGTATCACTACGACGTTTAATGATGTGGAATAATCTTCTCATCTTTTTATTAAGAAGGGCACTGATGGATTATTCAATATTATGAACAGTTTTATGATTTCATGTAGATAGTTGTTTAAAATATTCTTCATGGAGAAAGTTGGAGAATATGAGTATCATGCCAAGGATTTAATTGGTAATGGTGCTTTTGCCGTTGTTTACAAAGGGAGACATCAAAAGGTAGAAATAATTTTCGCATTTAATGTCACAATTATGTTTCAGAATGTCGATAAATGTATGCTTTGTTGACAAACTACAAATTGACTGTTTCTCATATGTTGATCTAAAAATCTTGTTAAGTTTCTGTTTTATATTCATTCAAGTCTTTACAAATGCTAATTATGTGTGTTCTTGCTTATTTTATGCATATTATATCGTCATTTGTCTTAATAAATGTATGCGTGCTATAAATCAATTGTTTATAAAAGATCAACAACAGTTTAAAATAAGCTCTATATTTACAAAATTTTGTTTTCGCTTACTTTATCTTTAAACTCTGGTGCTATAATCAACGAGACATTAACAATTTTAATGGACTATAACTAAATTTTTTACTCTTTTTTTTTTTTTAAACTTAATTACTGACTTTTAGGACTGCTTAAGGTTTATATTAAGCCACTCTAGTTAATGTAAAATAAATCAACAAAATTGTACATTTGAATTTCCAAGTTTTTTTTTTTTCTATGTTGAAAAAAATTTTATTTTTAATAATAGTCAACCCACTTAAAGGAATGTCATTGGTTCCAGCCAATACTATTCATTTAAGCAGGTTATCCGATTGAAAGGAGGGATCATTTTCTAATTATTAATTTATTTTTGAAAAATTCTAAATTAATTAGCTGTTTCACTTTGGGATTTTTGGAATTTATGTCTTCCAAAACTTCTATTTCTTTTTTCTTTTTCAATTATTTCAAATAATTCTTTTTCACACACATCTTGTATTCACTCTGATAAGCAATGATTATTCTAGTTTGGAGAAGGACACACTGTAGGCTAGTATGTTAGCATTTTGAAACTTTTTCTCATCAAAGCTAATAGGGAACTTGTATAATACGAACTTGTCTTTTTTTCATGTACTCCGGAATTGCAAGCAATGCAAAAACAGTAATGCAATAATGGTAGTAATAATGCAAATAAAAATTGTGCTTAAGTAAACATAATTGTTTTTCTCCTGCATTATCCATATGTAAGGGCCTTGCTAAACTTTCAGCACCTAGCTAGACGTGGGAAAATTGTAAATTGGACAAAAAAAACTTTTTTGGCAGAAGTCTTTGTGAACAATTTTTTTTTTTTTTTTTTTTTTTCCAAAAGGTTCTTAAGNTGCCAAAAAGAAAATTATAGATATAAAATATATACATAGATATATTCCCCTGAATCCTGAATGGGGACAAGCGATCAAAAGGAATTTTTTTTAGAACAAATCGTGTATTTTTTATTAGATTGCAGTCATTTCCGTTAGATACGTCAAATAACCGATTCGAATTGTATAAAGTCTAGAAGCCTAACAATAAGACAGTTTACGTAAACGAACTACCTTAAAATACAGATTACAATGTTGTTGTGGAATCACATATTGTCACATGACGAAATTCTTCCCTACAGTTTGTGTCAATAAAACCATGGGTGCACCACTCTTCAGTCCTGGAGACTAAAATCAGTCTTGAGTGAAAATCAGTAGATTAAGTTTCATAAATTAATATCTCTTTTCCATTTGTTTTTAATAGTAAAATTTCTGTTTTCCCTTAAAAATGTTTTTAAAAAAATTCTGTTAAATGATAAAAATGCATTTCAATGTAAACATTGTTAATTTTCATAATTATTGTGCAATTATCAAGTAATGATGTAGCTCATTAATGAAAAAATTAGATTGAACTTCAACGCCTGCTTGCTTAAGCAAAATTTGTAAAATTGTTGTACCTAAATTTTCTTGTCTCCCCCCCCCACCACCCCACCGTTTTGAAATGCTGGCCATGGTTAAATTGAGATTATTTTTTTTTTTTTTTAAAAAATATTGAGGTAAGACAAAAAATAAATAATGAGGAAGCGAAAAATAAGTAGAGACATGTATATATATAGCTTTGTGAAAAAAAGTAGTTGTTTATTATTATTGAGTGGTTGATCTCAAAATGATGTACAAGGTTAGCTGTTATTTTAATCTTGTTTGCTGTAATAAAAAAATTATAACTACCACTGTAAATCAGGGNCCAGTATTATACCCTTGTCATGTCAAAAACCACTTTTTGACGTCAAAAACCCAACCCTGCTGTAAATATTAAATACCAATTCACTAGTATATAAGACATGTTAACTTGATTCTTTCAAGAGTTACCTTTTGATAGATGAAGGTTAACATAGTCTAGGATTAAATTCCCTCACTTTTGATAATTGGCTAATAATTTGAATTACTTTTCGAGGGCGCTGCTGTTGTGTGTCATTAAAATCTTTCATGTCATTTTTATGAGTTTCTATCTCATTTGTGGCTTTAATCCGTTCCTAACAGAAACCTGCCAAATCTAAGGGTTTCCACTCCTCAGGGAAAACAGAAAGCACCTGGAAAATACAGGGAATTGTGATTTTTCTTTACAAACTGAGAATTTTATTTCTTATTTTTCACCTTTTAAAAAATGGTGACCACTCAAAGCGTAATCTATGGGATATTTAACCATGCTATTTCAGCTGTACTGAACTATTTCATTTACTATAACATTAGTATGTTCAGTTCTTTTTCTAGCTATTAAAACTAATAAATATAGTTAGCCCAATATAGCTCACACAAGAGTACAGTAATTGTTTCCTCTTAATATATTGTGTATAATATGTACAGGGAAAACAGGGGGAATTTTTTTTCTTCCAGATTTGAGTGGCACCCCTGGCTCTGCTTTCTGGCATGCAGTTATCAGTTTCTTCAGTTATGATTTAAAATTAAGCATTTAAATTCATACTCCTGTGATTCAAGATTAGTGTTCATGTGAATTAAAAAATATAAATGTCACAAATCGTATTCCCATGATTTTAAAAACAAAAAATAAAGATTCGTCAGGTATCTGTTTAGAAGAAATTTGGGTCCGTTAACGGACCCTTCACAAAGTACCCTTTCATAAAAACGGACCCTTCACAAATTATTTTAACTTAAAAACGGTCCAGTCACAAAATTATTTTTCTTTTAATCGGACCCTTCACAAAATTGTTTAGCTTCATTATTGTTTTGTTAATTGAATAAATCCTTCCCAGGGCAGAAAACAAGAATGATGGATGTAAACGAATTAAGTTTTGTCTTCGGCACACGATTCTTCCATTATTCGTCCGAAATGAATACTCTGCGTTCAGCAGTATAGGCTAAATACCAAATATTTGTATGTTGCATCTCTAATTTAGAATCAGCACTTGCTGCTTATTTTTGAAAATTTAATTTTTTTAATTATAATTTTACAGTGCTGAGCTTGTATCTTTTTACAATTTTAAAACTCCTTAAAAAAAGCTTTTTGCAATAATCGGACCCTATTTGCACAAGTTCATAAAAGCAGAACCCTGATTAAAAGAATGTGAGTAATTTTTTCGCAATTTCACAAAAACCGGACCTCTCACAAAATGTCTGGACAGACCCCTGTTCGCATTCATCTGTTTTTAAAACCAAACCTCAGGGTTCAAATTCACCCAATTTTAAAATCATGCGATTAGTTTCATATCATAGCTCATTGGTTCATAATATAGTAAAAATTAACATTAAAATTTTATTTTATCATATCACTGAACTTATCCCTATAGTATAAATCAATTAAAATTTTCTAAAAGTATTTTTTTTTTTTTTTTAAATCCGTGATTTTTCTAACAATTTTTTTAAAAATCAAGTAGCTACTAACGGATTAAAACTAGTTTACAGGAGTTAATCAATTGATTTCAGAAAGTTTTTTGATTGAGAGTTTTGTGTTTGTAGAAAGTTTTCTGTTTATCTAAATCTGATTTTAATTTTTAACACTAAAAATACCGTAACTGGTCAAATGACCGTTGAGGGACTTATCATCTTATACTTTTTACACATTTGACTTCATGACTTTTTTTAACAATTATATACAGTTAATAATCTATTATTATTATTTATTTTTTTCGAATAATATTTGTCGTATACCTATTTCTACCACAGCTGGTCATTTGACCGAGAGAACAATTTATTGCTTTATAAAGTAATTGGATCAGAAGTTCTGATGTAATGCGTGTTCAACGTATTGCATTCGATGAGTTGCACATTTCTTCAAAGACTGTTGCATAGTTGGTTTAATTAGAATAACTGGGAATTCAAATTTCAAGAAAGTACTTAAAATTCTAGATTGGCATTTTTATGTAAGAAAAAATGACAAAATCTAAATGTTTTGGTGAGTAGCTTATATTTTATTTTGATAGCTTTTACTTCATTTCTAAGTAACTGTTAGATTTTACCCAGAGAAATTTCGAAACAATCAAGACAGCAAAAGTTTTTAGAAGAAATAATATTAATTATAAGAATACAATTCTTATATATTCTTATAATTATAGGAATAATCCTAGAAATAATAATACTTAGGAGTTATATGTTTGCAGAAAATGTACAATGGAAACACCCTGTATATGTAAAAAATGCGTTGAGCAATGGATTAAAAATTCGTATTCTTTTTGTTTGTACAGTAGGGAACCGATTATCCGGAACGATCGGGACCATCGCTATTCCGGATAACTGATTTTTCCGGTTTTCTGAATCGCTACAAAAAGTCGTTTTTTTTATTGTTAAACCCAACTAAAAAAAAAAATATTTGGAAATAATCTTGAAAAAACGAAGTAATACACTAATGATTATTTCCAAAATGATGCTAGGGTAAACATCTTTCAAAAAAGAAAGAAAAATCCTAAAATCTTATGAGGAAAAAAAAAATTTTTTTTTTAAAAATAGCGGGAAAATTTATCGAATTTCGTTCCGGTTTTTTGGTTTTCCGGTTTTCTGATTTCCGGATAACGGGTTCTGTACTGTAATACATAAGAATTGGCAATATGCAATTTTGTTTAATTATAATAAAGTTTTTATAGTTTATTTCCTTCCTAACATTTCCTACATTAAGAAACATAAAGTCCAGTCATTTGACCGGCCATGGTATTCAATTTTTCATTCAATTCTTCATTCATTCATTTTTCATTCAATTCTTCATTCAATT